AGTCACTGTCCAATTTGGCCGCTAACTACAAGGATAAGGGGGTAGGAAGCGCGCAGAAGATGCGTTAAGAGACATAAAACAAAGTCAGGAGAATCTCGGAAAGACGGCGCCTATCTGCTGTTTAGCAAATGGTAGGGCAGTCTCACCTAGAAGCCAGCAGCAAATAACCAACCTTTCGGGTTGGCAAAATAGTCTTTATCACGAACCCTGCAGCGGTAGTACTGGCAGGCACGACCGATCATCAATACGGGAGTTGGCTATGTAGAGGAGAGTTTACGGATAAGCACAAATGCGATCTGGCTAATGTCTGCCACCATCACATGAGGAGCCAAACACGGCCCTGTAGTTCTCAAAACTTAAACTGGTGTGCCGGCAAGGGGAATGCAGAAGTTTCCCTCTCGACTCAGGGCGAACTCATACATGCAAACCAGCCTTCTTGGTGGTGGAGATACGGCCGATCATTCTTCTTACAAACCAGGCAGCTGAATTACGAAAACGGATATATTTTCTTCCCCCCATTGCGACAGTCTGTCTACAGGGTTTTCGAATTTTCTGGGAAGACTGCTAGAAACTGAGAAAGATAAACAAGCGGTCTTGTCGGTGTTCTTTTTCAGAAGAAGGGAGATTTACGCATGTCTTTCACGCATAAAATTACCAAAGCGTTTGTGGCATTTATGCCCTGGTAGTAGTGCCAGGTACAGTGTTCTTGGTAGCAGGTTGAATGTCCTGTTTTTAGCCTTAAATCATTTAATCAACTTGACCAAACATCCAAGTGTGTTTACAAAACTTTATTGAAAAGTTTCAGATGGAGACGATAACCGGTATCTGCGCCTTGGGCGTCAGCATCGCCTTTTGAAGTAACAGTGGACTCGCCGTGCGAGTCAGAGATAAGGAAATATCGATTTATTATGCATCCCGAGGAAGCTTTAAGGTATCTGGCGAAGGTACTCATTAAGCCCTCTCATCTCGCCTTCTAGTGAAAAGTTTGCTAGTGAAAACAAACAATGATTTGCTGCACTTACAGCAAACAGCCTTAACAGTACTGCTTTCCGTTGAACCTGCAGCTTGCTTGTCAGCTGCTCTAGAGCCTCTCCGTCGACATCGTAGCCAGTGCTGTAACCCCAGACAGGAGGTTTTTCTGCCAATGAGACGCGTAGGTAATTCTCCTGAGGGAAAAAAGTAAAAATGAGGGTGTAGTATGGCGGAGGAAGAAAGAATCATTAAAAATTAGAGTGAACAAGATGTGGTGGTGGTGGTGGTGATGGTAGTAGTAGTAGTAGTAGTAGTAGTAGTAGTAGTAGTAGTAGTAG